TCATTTTAGCTCTAGTTCACCTTTTTTTTTTATCACTTTGCTTATATTTTCAAAATTATATATCAATATGCACTTCTTTTGAAATTATATATCAATCTATTTTCATTTGATCAAAGTTTGACTGATACTTAATCGAATAAATGACTTACTCATAATTAGGGTTTGGTTAAACAAGAACATATTGATATATTATTTGAGAAAAAAGACATATTGATATATAATTTTTTTTTAATAATGAAATAGTAAAAATAAAAATAAAATAGAGGTAATCATATCCAAAATCCATTTAGAGATTATTTGCTATATTTTCTTTATGTTCTCGTCGAAGTAGCATATATATTTTATCATTTTTCGAAATATATATTTCTTCTACAATTTTGATTTAGGAATAGTGAAAGATCAAAAAATGTCTTTACAAGAGGATTTATCAAGGATCGATACCGACATGGGACACGAGACATGACATTTTGACATGTTAATTCTAAAAAATATTAGATTTTGACATGTTAGGACATGTTTTGATATTAAATAATATTTTAATATATATTATATAGTTTACATTTAATACATATAATAGCCCATAATAAGTCACATAACTAATCAAATATTCAAATTTCATAACATAAATATAAAGTAAAAATAATTTTTCATACCTTGTTAATTTTTATATCAAATTCTATAACAGAAAGTATTTGATTTATAAATTAATTTTTCATGTTTAGTTAAAAAGATAAAATAAAACAAAATATGGATTCGTGTGAATGTTGACCGTGTGATGAAAAACATTGATCGATATCGAAGCATTAACTGCGTGCCTCAAAATGTTGATTGCATATCGAAATGTTCAAAATGTGTCGGTGTCCAACAAGTAAAATGACGGGTCCATGCTTCATAGTTTTTGAGCATTGCGACCGTTACCAATTGAGTATATTTTTTTTTTTGGTCTGTACCAATTGAGTATATTTTATTATTTCTGAATTCTTCTCACATATAATATTTTTTAAGGCTTGATCAACGTTGTCAATAGTAATTTATACGGTAAGAAAAAAATTATATGTTATAATCCTATAGTGAAAAGTAAAATACCAAATAAATAAATATATGATATCATGTAACAAGTATATGTATATTGAAAACCTTAGGTCAAAACAAAGAAATTATCATTAAATCATTAAAGTCAAATCATATCAATTAATCTTGAAATATTATAATAAAATCATATCAAATTTAACTTTATCTAATCAATTTACTGAATTTCATTCAAAATTTTAAACACCCTCCATAATTAGAGTTTCAAATCACATCCAGCAATTAAAAAATAAATAAAAAATCCTACCTCTAGTATGAAAAGGCCCATTTGATGGATAAGATATAATAGGAGAGTTGGATAAGAGTAAAAAAATGGAATGGTAAGCTCATATTTTATCCTATGTTTGTTGTGCATTAGATAAACAATTTGATAGGATAATATTAACCTATTTAGTGTTTGAAGTGAACCAGTCATGATATGATATGATATAAATTGACAATAATACCACTTTTTAGGGGATATAACATGATTTTTTAAAATTTAATTTTTAAACTACTTTTTTTTTACCTATTTAGACATTAGTTCTTATTTTAAATTATTGAAAAAATTATAAATCACAATTTTGAAGAAAATACATAAATAAATTACAAAAAAATTGAACAAAACAAATTATTCTCACCAAATAAACTTTTAAAAATAAAATTTTAAATTGATTGTTAATATTTTGGTGGCTAGTGACAATGGTTGGTGGTGGTGGCCGGCTAGTGCGGTGGGTGGCCGATTGAAGTGGTGGTGATGGTACTAGTGACAATTGTAGTGGCTGACTGATGATAATTGTGGTGGTTGTGAATGTCGGTGCCTAGCTATTGGTTGAGAGATATTGGTTGTGGCTAATGATAATTACATTGATTATGATGGAGGTTAGTGCAATGGTGGCAGTGGGTGTGGGCAGTGGAAGTAGTGGTAACACCGACAATGACCGATGGCAATTGTGGAACTGATTGATGGTGGTGATTGTTGGATTGGTTAGGGTGGTTGTAGTTAGAGACAATGGTGGTGGCTGATAGCTCATGATGATGGTAGGTGGTGATGATCGTGGTGATTGGTTGATGGATGATGGTGGCCATAGTGAATGATAGAGGTGGCCGATGGCCGGTGGCTAGTCATGGCAAAGGCTACCCTCACGTGCTCAACAAAGTTTATAAAGAAAGAGCATATGACTATATTTGAAATGAGAGGGGTGAGATATTTACTATTTTATTATATTTATTCCTAACCCAAATCTCCTTTAGGATCACTACCCATCTTGTTGGGACAGGTTAAAGTGAACTAACATGATAAACTTATCATATCCAATTGATTTATCAAATAATGAATATGATAGACTATCCGAAAATATAAGGACTATAAAGAAAGAAAGAAATAGGTTATAATATGGGTTTAGTGTTTGTCATTTTAAATGACATAAGTTATGTTATTTTAGGAGAGAGATAGACACATAAAAACGGAAATCATGGGAGAGAAAGTGGCTGGTTTTTTTTAATTTAAAATTCAATTTTTTTGTGTTTGTATCTCTCTTAAAATGACATAACTTTCTGTCATTTAAGATGACAAACACTTTTCCCAATATAATATACTTTTTGTTTACCACTTCAAATTATAATAAAAGCTCGAGAAGGATATCGCTTTTCCATTTAAAAATTTGCCAAATTTTTTAATTGATTTTTTTTCATTTATATCCTCGTTTAGAAAATTTAATTCAAATTTTAACCTTTAAACCTAAACTCCTTTTCTCTCACGGTTACCTCATTTTTTTTTTTTTTTATAACAAGTTACCTCATTTTTTTCCTCTTGATTTTGTACTCATAAACGATAAATGAAACAAGCCATTCCTTTCTTCTTCTAAGTTTTTGTGTTCTTTCTTCAATCACGCTTGGTCTTCCTCTTTCCCCTTCAGACTTACCATTGTTGTTCCCCACCCGTTTCCCTTTTGCGTAGTCCTTGCTGTCAGAAGGTGTACATTGCGGCCACCATTGTCCAATCAGTGTGACGATATTTAAAGTACTTTGTTCTTCCCCTTCCTCTCCTTTTTAGATTGGCTAATATTATTGTATGTGTTTTTTATCTTTGTTATATGCTAATTTTGGTTGTCAGCATTCAAAGGTGGATGCGTGCTTTAATTTCTGTCTTGACACTGCATTCTTTCAGCAGTTAGTTACATATCTTGTGTTCAATGTTTATTTATATACAAAAATACCATCTTTATTGTTATTTAATTGATGATAAGCAGCATATATGCTTGCTCTGTGATCTATGTATGTATATGTGTTTGATAAGCAGCATATATCTTCTGTTCAATGTCTTGACGCTGCATATATGCTTTTTTTGTACACGGGTACAAGATGAGAAACAATTATTTCTTTCAATAACTCTTCACCACTATTATTATCACCATCACCACTATCATTCTGACACGACCACTGCCACCATCGTCGCTGCCGTCGTTGTACCACCAATGTCATCGTCACCACGACGACGACGACGATGCCACCACCACCATCACCATAACCACGAACGACGATGTCATCGCCACCATCACCACCATGCCACCGTCATCATCATCACCACAACCACCACTACCATTACCGTCACCACCACCACCATCATTGTAGCCACTGCTGTCACCACCACCACCACGCCACACCACTACCATCACCACGATGTCACCACTTCCACCACCGTTACCAACCACTACTACCATCGTCGCAGTCACTGCTGTCACCACTACCACTGTCATCACCGTCACCAACCACTACCACTATCGCCGCAGCCATTGATGTCACCACCATGCCACCACTACTATGCCACCAACCACCGCCACCATTATCGTAGCCACCACCACCACCATTGCCGCAGTCACTGGCGTCACTACCACCACTGCCGCCACCACCACCACACCATATGGAACAAAAAGTTATGATTCAAAAAAAAAAATTATGCTTAATATGAATTATTTTTTATTATATTATTTATTGTGTTATCAAACGCAATTCTCATTCTCAGATTAAAAATAGAACATGTTATCAAACACATTTTTTTCTCAAAAACTATTCCGATGCACAAAAATAGAAAATAATTGTTTCTTTTCAGAAACAGTATAAGGGAACGGAACGATTGTCATACACACCCCAAGTATTGCTTGGGATCCTCCCTGGAACAATATCTAAGTCATTTTTAAAAAAATTGTCTATTTTTTATACGGCTTGGACTCATTGGAATATGGCTAATATTGGACCCTTCCATCATAACAAATAACTCTTTAGTTTTCTCTGACTATCTCACACGACTCTTTGGTTTTCTATGGCACGAGTGGGTTGACTCGTTTCCATTTGGTCCCATTTTTCTTAATAGATTAGCTTATAACTATAGAATTAGTCCACTTTAATCAGTCCACTTTTCTTCTTCTTCTTTTTCCTTTCATTTTGCTTGGCATTTCAACTGTTCTTCCTGCTCTGCGTGTTTTTTCCTCTTTTTCTTCCTTTCTCCGGCATTCAAATTGTTGTCCCCATTATGAAACTCAACATTCTAAGCAGAATCCTTCCTTCTTCTTTTCCTTTTTTATTTCTTGATTTTTTATACAATACATTGACTTGACTGAGGAAAAATGTATGATTAGGGTGAATGATGCTTGTTTTTCACGTTCATTTTGCACATTTTTCTGAATTTTGTTCTTCTTTAGTTATCGATAAATGTTAACATTTCTTTTGCATTCTTTTGTCAAATACCTTAATTGCTGATAGTTTATCAAACTTATGTGTATACTTTACGCCTTATTTTAATGCTTGAATAACATAAATTGCAGTTTATGGATAGCAAAGGAAGGCTTCTGCATAATTTTGAAATTTCACGAAAATAAAAACAAAGTGCGAAGTGGGATTCAATCACTACCAAAATCTTACTTGAAATTTGTATGGACGAGATTCGTACTACTGGAAAATCAGGAATTGGATTTAGAAATAAGAGATGGGAAGCTATACTTGATAAGTTTAATAAACGTGCTAATAAAAGTTATACTCAGAAGCAATTGAAGAATAGGATGGATAGTTTGAGGAGTGATTTGATTATATGGAAACAATTACTGGCCAAAGAAACGGGTTTGGGATGGAATCATGAGATGGGAACTATTGTAGCTGATGATGCATGGTGGGAAGCCAAGATTAAGGTAAGTATTCTAATTTCTAAATGTTTAGTTATTTCATATTTATTTGAAAATTTGGGTTTGTCCATAAGTTTCTTTCTATGATTGTGAAGGATAATGCAAAATATGCAAAGTTTCGATTTCAAGGACTGAAATTTCGTGAAGAATTGGAATGCATATTTGGAGTGACAATAACAAGTCAACATGCATGGCCACTAGCAATGGGTGTACCAATTGAAGATAATGCCATAAATGTAACTCGAGCTATGCCTAAGGAAATTGTTAAATATGGGGATGAAGAATTCAATCTCGATAAACATGTTAGCCCAGTGGTAAGCATGCAAAAGACATTGGAACAAATAAGCAATGACACAACTGAAGCTGCTGAAATGTCAGACAAATCTCAAGTCCGTGGACAGTTTTCCATTCCAAATTGCATTAAAATACTCAAAACTCTCAATGACGAGGGAAAACTGGATGATGAACAATTTTGCTATGCAGTAGAATTGCTTAGAGTGGACAAAAGTAGAATTATTATTATTATGTCATTGTCAGATTCAATTGGCAAGCTAGTGAATTGGATTTTATACAAGTATAAATTAAATCAAAACTCCCATAATTAGGTTAAGATTTGATTTCATGTTTGTTATTTTAACATTACACGTTGGACTTAATTCTCTATCTATTTTGCTTTTAGTTTTATGTTTAAACTATTGGTGTTTGAATGACTTTACTATTATCTATGTTTCTTATGTGTATACTTTGATGTGTTTGTAGTTATATTTATATTTATGTATTTCAATTACTATATACTTTTGGTGATGATATTAATTTTTGGGTTAATCTCTAAGTATAGCAGTTATGGTAAGCATGTCACATATATAATTATTCACTCTCCTTTTATGTGCAGTATAATGCCATTTTAAGCAGTTACCAACTTTTTCACTTCTGTTGGTCTCTATCATTTTATGCAAGCAATGACTGGAAGATAAAAATGACTTCTAATCAAACCAAAGCTTCTATGATAATTGTTAAAAAAGGAAATGTGCAAAGTTTTATCAAGAAATGAATGGATCATATATTACGAAATATGTAATGAAGCAAGGCAAGTGATTTAGATGCTCATTGGATGAAATTGGGTTCTAAAAACCTTCTGGGTGGAAGATACATAATGTTTAGGGTGGAATCAAATGTTGTGTTAAAACATCAAAACATGTTGGTGAGTAAGAGGTGATTTACATCCATCTAAAGAAATGATATCATTGAAGTCATTTGCTCTATTTATTTGGGCACAACGACATTTTTGGACACAACGACAAATTAAAATGTTAAAAATAAATTTGGAATAGATTAGAATATGAAGTTTGGTGAAGTGCTAGACACTTTATATTCATTGGTGAAGGAAATTGTGGCCTCTAGATTTTTAATCTACTGATTGAATATATTGGCTTTATTTTTATGGATGAATCTGTGCTAGCTATAGATAGATCGCATATTCTTGTTATTCCTCCTGTGAATGATCAAATTCACTTCAATGTCATGTTAGTGTGCAATTTTGACATGTTTTTCACTTTCGTTGCTGTTGTTTGGTCTTGAACTGCCCATAACATACATATTCTTTCATTTGTGCTTGAAGAAATAGAAAGTGTGTTTCCTTGCTCTCCTAAAAAATATAATACTTATGTTTTGATGTAACATTTCCAGTTTATACATTTATCCAGTTGTTTTTGAAATAATAAAAAAAATCTTTTAGTTTTCTAAGAAAGTATTATGCAGTGGATGTTGACATCGTAACATGAAAAAGGGTATCCAACACCGTATATGTATCCCATTCCTGATTTTAAAGGTTATAATACACCGCAAGGCTTACATGAAGTTTTCAACCATGCACATTCTTTTTTAAGAAATGTCATTGAAAGAAGATTGAAGTTGCAACAACATGTAGCACATCTTATGTGATATAAAGTCATTTTCATTGATCAAGCCTGAGAAGCTCATTGTTGCAACAATGATACTTAATTCGAAAGTGTGATATTGAATATGAGTAGCTTGACAAATGTGATCGTAACTCTAATCATATTCTTGATTATTAAGAAGAAAGTAATATTAATTAAAAACTAAATTAGTAGTTATACGAATAGAGTTTGCAATCATATATAACATATTAGAACTAGAACCACATTGATGAAAAATATAATTGTCTTATGAATATAAATCATGTTTTACCTTTAAATTATTTATTAAATTAAGCTAACCTGTTTTAACTTGCAATTTCTTATATTCACTTTCTTTATTCTTGGATTAAAATCAAATCAACATTAGTTGATAATGTTGATTTGATTTTAATCTAAAGATAAATGGTTGTAAGCAAAGATATCCTATAAATATAACCTTACCTATTTATAAATTATTTTTATATTATTATTTATAAGGGTGTGTAAATGAGTTGGGCCGAGTCAAGCCTATGAAAAATATTTTGAGTTTGGCTTGACCCATTAACTTGGTACAAGGCCACGAGCTAAATTTTAGGTTTGACTTGATTTGTTTATGAAAAATTAAAAGCTTATCTTAAGCTTGACTTAAATCATTTATAATTATAAAATGTATTTTTTCAAACCCGCATAAATCCAAATGTTAAGACTATAAATGCATCAAATTCTGTAACTGATCGAGGGAGGCAAGGGGTGACCAATAGTCAGAGAGCTTGTTTGTGAAACTGTGACCATGAGAGAATGTCAGTAGACAATAATAAAAAAAAAGTAGGGTTAATGATTCAATGACATAAAAATATATTATTTATGAGAAAAATATTTGTCCTTTTAAATGATGATCATTTTAGTTAAAATGAGTGTTTTTATTTAATATTTAAATTAAAGAAAATATCCTACTTTCTTCCCCCTTGATTTCCATTGTGCATCGCTTTCTATCAGTATAAACACTGTAATTTTGACTAAAATAACACAATTCTATGTCCTTTAAAATGACAAACACTAATCCATTATTTATTATAATAATATATCAGGCCAGCTCTAAGGGCTTATTTGCTAAACAAACTTTTTTTAAAACTTAAGCCTGTTCTATTTATTAAACAAGTCAGGCTAAGCTAAACTTAAAGCAAGTCAAGCTTTGGGCCCCGACAAATCACTTGGCCTATTTACACCGCTGTGAAGTTTTATTTATACAAATAGTTAATCTAATAATGTCGTCTGGGACACAGAAATTGATACTGAACTTATACAAAAGAAATAGTTAATCTAATAATGACGTAATTAAGATTGTTCCTGGTGCCAAAATTCCTGTTGATGGTGCTGTTATAAAGGGGAAAGGCAATGCAAATGAAAGTATGTTCACTGGGGAGACAAGACCTGAGGAATCATGGTATTTATTATTCATGCGGTGTGACCTTTAGTTGCAAGTATACTTCTATTTATTATAATTATGAAAGATATAAGCATTCCAATTATGAGCATCCTTATCACCGGTGTGGTAGGATGAAAGATAGGTGTAATTGAAAGTTAAAGAGATGTATGCACTGTGCTATGTGTTTACTAATGACTAAAATGTATAGGATTCTGGAGGTTGATAAGGGAGACATGTGACTCAAAGGCCTACTTTATATCAGCAACAAGTTTCATATGCAAACTATTCAAGTGCAGGGTTGCAATATCCTGTCATGCCAGAATGCAAAGCAACATGTTATCTGCCTTATGTTGATTCAATCATTCAACTGTTTCACCTGTGTTTGCGCCAGCCACATCAGAGAAAAGTTTCGCAAGCTTTATCACTGATATTCTCGTGGGTGGAGTTTCTGCTGCAGCGTCCAAGAGACCAAGACTGCAGTTTCTCCCTTGGGTGTTTGTAGTCCGGATTGGTTGATTTTGAAGCAAAAATTATCTAATCCAGTACCTTCGGTTTGATCATTTATTCATTTATTCGGTTTGGGATTTTTTTCCAATACAATCCAATTTTATTCGATTTGGATTGGATCAGTTTTCAGTTTTTCGAAAAATCAAAAATTTTAGCTATACAAATCACTAGCTATACCAAAATAAAGTCATTCAAAATTGTAAACCATTCGAAAATTCAAGTCTTTCAACTAAAACAAGTCTTAAAACTCATGAAGAGTTAAAATAGATTAATAGATAATAATAACTAAAACAAACCGATCTAATTCAATTAAAATATGTGATTTTTTCAGGTTAATTCGGTTATCAGTTTTTCAGTTCGGTCACCGCAGTTCGTATCGGTTGATGAACACCCCTAGTTTCTCCTATCCTAAAAGCTTAAGCTGGGTGGGATTACCTTAATTGTTTTTGTACTTCTCTAACATGCTCTATTAGTACGCTCCCTCACACGAGAGTCAGTGAGCTTGAAGGATGGATAATACACAAACCCATATAATTGTACTTAATTAATTATTAATTAATTGGGCAGTGAGAATTGAACTCGTAACACCGAGGCTCTGATAAAATGTAAAGAATCAATTCAACCAAAAAACTTAATTAAGCTAATAAGTGAAACTACCTTAATGATTTTTATACTTCTTTAACATTATGATTCAAAATCAAGATGAGATGATTAAGAGCCTGTTTGATAAGTGTTTTGTAAAATAATTTTTTGTTTTTAAAAATAAAAAAACTTGCTTGGTAATAGGTGTTGTGTTCATCTCTTCTTAAGTTTTTAAATCAAGAATTAGAGAACATCCATTAGGTGTTTTGGTTTTGTTTTTTAATTCTCTGTTTCCGAAACAAGAAAAACACGGAGAACTATTTGTTTTCATTAATGGCAAAACTATAAATAAGAAAATATTAGAAATCCCAGCAAAAATAAATTTGATTAGAGTAGATGAAAAGCTAGATGGAACTCAGAAGGTTATGAAGATTGGTGCAAAGTTGTTGAATAACAAGAGCGAAACCTCGTGAAACCTTGCTCCGGAGGAATCTGCATCTTGGCTTGCCTCGCTCCCATTTTCAGCTTTAGAAGCCGGTAAAAGTTCAGGGTGCTTCAGAGTTGCTCTCAAATTAGTCATTTTCTCAACAAAAAAGATTCAAAATCGAAATATCATAATTGAAAGGAATAGAATGGATGTTGCTAATCTTTTAAATCCAGCAAAAATACTTTTTTTCTATGAACCCTCTTCCACCTCCATCGATAGCTTGTCTCAGAATCTTCACACAAAAAAAATCATCTTGGCTGTTGAGGTTTTTTTTTTTTTTTGGTAATCGGCTCTTGAGGTTTTTACATATAGTTAAAGAAATTATTAAGGTAAGTTAAAAAAACAAAAGTTAATAATCAAATGAGTTTTTATTTTTATTTTTTTGTTTTAAAAACATGTTCTTAAAACAAATTTTCAAACAGATTTTTTTTTGTTTTTTAACTTTTATAATTCTTTTCAAAACAAGTTTACCCAACAGATTTTTTTTATTCTTTTATTCTGAAAATCAATTATTAAAAACTATTTTACAAAACAATTTTAAGAACATAAAAATCAAAACACAATCAAACAGACCCTAAGTGCCCATTTAGATGAGCTTCCAAAAAAGTACTTTTTATACCTTGCTTATTTTAGTAGTATTTTTTACAAAAGCTAAAGTTATTTAGATTTTTAAAAATAATATTTGATTTTTGAAAAAAAATATTTGACTTTTGACTTCTACTTTTTTTAGAAACTAAAATTTTTAGTTTCTAAAAAGATAAATTTTTAGCTTTTTTTATGACTTTTACTTTTTTTAAAAGTAAGTGTCCAAACAGACTTTTTTTCATAAGTGTTTTTCTTCCAGAATAAAAAACAATTTTTTTTTTTAAAAGTCTATCCAAATGGACCCTAAGGCTTGTCGGCTCTCTAAACCCTACAAGGTAATTGGAGAATGTTTTGGTAGAAGGAGGGATTCATTTCTTCGTGGAGACTGCTAGTGTTATCCGTTAATTCAATGTTGCTACTTACAGGGGAAAATAACCTCTCTTTTTGTTTAAATCATGCATAAAATATTTTTTATTTATATTTAGTTAGCTTTATTAGTTTATTCTCTTGCCTTCCCCTTTACCCTGCTCTAAATTACTCTTTGTTGAAATGAGATAATATTTGTTGAGTTGTATAGTTGTTGGAATTTTAATCATTGATTATACAATTACATAATCATAGGAGATTTGTATTAAATAGATTAATTTTCTTATTTGCAGTTGATTGACATAATCATAGGAGTTTTGTATTAAATAGAAATAGTAATAGGTTATTTCATTTCCTTATTCATAGCTGATTGACAGCTTATTTGTAATGGACCTAGAGTCCTTATTTATGCATATAATTATCTCAGTAGAGGAAGAATAAACACGCAGAAATATTCATAATATGGCATAATTGTTTTGACATGGTATCAGAGCTTCAGTGACCACGAGGTCACGAGTTTGATCCTCACCAAAGCACAAGACAGACCAAGAATGGGCTTGTGCAGCACAAGGCAGACCAATAATGGGCTTGTGTCATATCCACGCTTCAACCCCAAAGGGCTATTGCGTGAGAAGTGTGTTAGAGAATATAATATAAATCATTAAAAGACCCTCACCCAACACCTTAAGGTTTTGGGTTGAATTGATTCTTAACATGGTATCAAAGCATTTCTGATCCATGAACCTATTTTTATTAAACCTTCCACATCGTATTGTTCAATTTGCCTGACTCAATTTTTTTTTTGTTACCCATTTCGAATTTCTATTTTCCCATGAACAATCCCAAATCCTCTTCTGAATCTTCAACCCCGTATTTTTTCAATAAACGTTCCCGGAAGAAAATACCTGCCAAAGCCATGGTCATTGTCTCCGCTAGGGATGCTCCTGTCCCTGCTGCTAATTTTACTCAATCTGGTATTTTGGGTAAGTCTCTTGCTTTCTATACATTGTTTAGGAATAATATTTGGATAATTGATATAGGTGCTTCTGATCATATGATTAAAGATTCTTCCAAGTTGTTCAATCTCTGTAATTCTTCACAATCCGTTATTTCCACTACCAATGGGGGTACCTCAAAAATTACTGGTCAAGGATCCTTAACCCTTTCTGATAGCTTATTTCTAGACTCTGTGTTGGTTGTACCCTCTCTTGAATACAATTTACTCTCTATGAGCCAATTAACTTCAAAGCTTAACTGTTCAGTAACTTTTTCCCCTCTCACTGTATTTTTCAGGACATCCCCACTCTGACTACTCTTGGTTATGGTGTTAGACGTGGCCAGCTTTACTTCTTGGAGGTCCCTGATCCTAGCCATCCTTCTTTGGCTACTACATGTGCAACAAATGGTCCAGAACAGTCCCGTGCTACCATTTGGCTTTGGCATCGAAGACTTGGTCACCTTTCCTTTAGTTATCTGAAAAAGTTATTTCCTTGGTTATTTTCCCATTTGAATAATGCTGATTTCAAATGCAGCACTTGTGAATTGGCCAAGAGTCACAGAGTTCCTTATTTTCCTAGTACTAATAAAAGTTCTATTCCATTTCAAGTTGTTCATTATGATGTTTAGGGCCCTGCAAAGGTGCATTCTTTCTCAAAATCTTACTGTTATGTGACTTTTATTGATGAATGTACCCGAATGACTTGGTTGTCACTATTAAGACACAAAAGTGATGTCTTTAATGCCTTCAAAAAATTTTATAGCATGGTCCAAACCCAATATCAGTCTAAGGTTCAAATTCTACAATCTGATAATGGCAGGGAATATTTAGATGGCCGCTTTATTGATTTCTTAAGCACACAGGGGATCCGACACCAAACCTCTTGCCCTTATACACCCCAACAGAACGGCCTAGCTGAACGAAAAAATAGACAACTACTAGAAGTGGTTCGTGCCTCCCTTTTTGGTATGAATTTGCCTAAAACATATTGGGGTGAAGCATTATGTCTGCTGCCTACCTCATCAACCGTATTCCATCTAGCGCCCTTCACTTTAAAACTCCACAACAGACTCTGGAATCTTATTTCTCCATTCCTCACATTCCCAACCTTGAGCCTCGTGTTTTTGGGTGCACGGTGTATGTCCATATCTGTAAGGTATTACGAAACAAATTGGATCCTTGTGCTAAAAAATGTGTATTTGTGGGTTACTCTGATGTACAAAAAGGTTACAGGTGTTATGATCCTGTTCTCCATAAAATGCATGTCACCATGGACGTGTCTTTTCAAGAATTGGAACCATATTATTCAGGGGGAGATTCTGTTACTTCTTCTCACGGGGAGATACCTACTACTGGAGAAGAAATTACAACTCTTCAACACACTCCTGAACCGGATGTTACCCGTCCCATGAATGATTTTGCTACGCGTCTAACACCTATAACTGAGGCATCGTCCCTAGATGTTCCTGAATCCATACCTGAGGTAAACACTAATCTTACTCCTATTTCTTCAAATGGACTTTCTATTACTAGCATAGATGGTCCCATCTTACCTGTTAGAGTGTCACAAAGACCAAATAAAGGTGTACCAAAATAGCTTTATGAACTAGATCCAAACTTTAAGGTCAAATACCCTATCGGTAACTATATGTCCAATCATAGGTTGTCAGAATCATATATTGCATCTGTTAATCAATTGTCTAGTATATTTGTTCCTAACAATGTGCAGGATGCTTTGGATGATCCAAATTGGAAGGAAGCCATGAATGTAGAAATGAAGGCCTTACAAAAAAACTCAACGTGGGACCTGGTTCCTTTACCAACCGGGAAGAAACCAATTGGATGCAAATGAGTGTTTACTGTGAAGCTTAAAGAAGATGGCATCGTTGACAGATATAAAGCCAGATTAGTTGCTAAGGGATACGCACAAAAATACGGAGTTGATTACCAAGATACATTTGCACCAGTAGCAAAACTGAACACAATTAGTGTTCTGATTTCTATAGCAGCTAACAGGGAGTAGCCACTCAAGCAATTTGATTTAAAGATTGCATTTTTAAATGGAGACTTAGAAGAAGAAGTATATATGGAAATTCCACCAGGCGCCAAACATGCCAACTTGAAGGGAAATGAAGTGTGTAGATTAAAAAAAGCACTATACGGCCTCAAGCAATCACCTAGAGCTTGGTTTGGCAGATTCTCTCTAGTCATGAAGAAGTTTGGATACAAACAAAGTAATGCAGACCACACCCTATTCATAAAACATAATGGAGGAAAGGTAACAGTGTTAATAGTGTATGTTGATGATATGGTTTTGACTGGTGATGATTTATTTGAAATAGAGTTATTGGAAATACATTTAGCAAATGAGTTTGAAATGAAAGATCTAGGATCATTAAAGTACTTTCTTGGAATTGAAATTGCTAGATCAAATCAGGGAATTTTTTTGTCACAAAAAAGTACATTTTAGATCTACTTGCAGAAACAGGAATGACAACATGTAAACCAGCAGAAACACCAATTGAAATGAATCATGTATTGTGTTTATATCCTGATCAAGTACAGACTGATGTTGGCAGATATGAAAGGCTAGTAGGGAGGCTAATTTATTTATCACATACTAGTCCAGACATTCCTTATGCAGTTAGTGTTGTGAGCAGATTTATGCACAACCCAAGTGAGGATCACATGGCTTCTGTGTATCGAATATTGAGGTATTTAAAAGGGTGTCCAGGGAAAGGTCTGCTTTACTCAAAAAATAATAGTCCCGGAATTAAAGGCTACACAGATTCATATTGGGCTGGAGATAAAACTACCAGACAATTAACTTCGGGTTATTTTACTTTTGTTGAAGGCAATCTAGTTACTTGGAAGAGTAAGAAGCAGAAAGTTGTGGCTAGATCGAGTGCAGAAGCAGAGTTTAGAGGAATGACACATGGAGTGTGTGAATTGTTGTGGATTAAGAGCATCCTACAAGACTTAAGAATCTGCTATAATCAGCCTATGGAGTTACATTCTAATAATAAAGCTGCTATTGAAATTGCCCATAATCCAGTTCAACATGATAGAACCAAACATGTAGAAGTGGATAGGTATTTTATCAAGGAAAATCTAGATCAAAAAATTATTCAATTTCCCTACATCAAATCTGAAGATCAGTTAGCCGACATCTTGATAAAGGTTGTATCAGGAAAAGTGTTTGAAGAATCAATTAGCAAGTTGGGCATGATTGATATCTATGCACCAACTTGAGGGGGAGTGTAGAAATGAGATAATATTTGTTGAGTTGTACAGTTGTTGGAATTTTAATAATTAATTACACAATTACATAATCATAGAAGATTTGTATTAAGTAGATTAATTTTCTTATTTGCAGTTAATTGATTGACATAATCATAAGAGTTTTGTATTAAATAGAAATACTAATAAGTTATTTCATTTCCTTATTCATAGTTGATTGACAGCTAATTTGTAATGGACTTAGAGTCCTCATTTATGTATATAATTACCCCAGTAGAGAAGAAGAATAAACACGCAAAAATATTCATAATATGACACCATTGTTTTGACACTCTTAATTGACAACATGTTCCAAAATGTCACGGGGTTAATTATCCATTGAATAATATTTGATCATTGTAAGAAAGAGTATAATAAAATTATTAAAAAAAAATTCAGGAAATATTCCTAGAATAAAGACCACGAAGCACTGATGTGGATTCATGTCAGGCCGTTTTCTCTTTAAATGTCATTGGACATGTGATGTGCCATGCCTATGTAAACGACATCATGAGGCCTCTCCTTTTTGAACAAGCAGTGAATCTTTTGAGTTTGGTATTAATGCTGAGTGTATTGTGGGTTCTTTAGCGTTGCAGACAAAAGGAATATTAAGGGTTTATAATTATAATGATACTTTTCGTTCTTCACTTCACTTGCACGCCAGGTTTTTGTATCATTCGCTTCTCAATTATGTTATGTCTGATTCCCTCACATGCCTGACAGCCTTTTGCATTTGTTCCTTCTCAGATGTTTGCTTGCCTAGTTTATCTAAAGAGAGAGGATGGAGAAAGATGTGCTTTGCTTACTAGAGCTATCATCTACTAAGCTGCTATTCTAACCAATTACTCAAGTTGACACTGTTGATCATAACTTTTTACACAAACAAGTAAATTACTCGTGCGATGCTCGGCGGAAAGAACGAAATATTTGTAGCCGTCATAATTAATTCTCGCATCGGTAAATCAATACATACATTTTGCTATCAAATACTGTTGATCATAACTTTTTACACAAATATATCTGATTCAGAAAATTATATTGGGGGTGTCTCCTCTTGAGCTATCTACGCTAAAGTAATTTGCTAAATAATATTTTTATTAACAGAGTAGTATTTCTAATTTTTATATTAACTTGGTTTTATAATTTTAACATTATTAAAAAACAATGTAATTATACAAATTGTGAATACGAAATATGAAGTCACAAACACATAAATAATTTCCCGTCTTAATTTAAGCAGGTATGTGTTTTTCTTAAATCCTAGAATACCTCTTTATATATTTTCTTTTGGTGAAAGAAATAATAATAATAATAATAACAATAAAAGGTCACTCTAACATTGTGGGTAAAAGTGTTAATGACAATTTCCTAGAATACCTTTTTACACACGACATTCCGATACGTTAATTTTAAAAAATGTTAAATTTCAACACGTCAGGACACATTTTGATATTAAATAATATTTTAAATTTATGTAGTGCATATTATATTTAATATTCAATAATTTATCATAAAATAAAGCTAAACTTATAATACCTAACAATTTTGCAAATAAATATAAAATATCATAAATATTTATATTAAACTCAATAAAATAGTAGTCGTAATTCAAAAAATCTAATAGTTGGAACCAAAAATGCAACGCAACACAACTTTTAAATTCTTTTTCAAAAAATCTAATAGTTGAAACCAAAAATGCAACGCAACACAACTTTTAAATTCTTTTTTAAGTCTCTACAATATTGTTGGAGTGTCGAAAAGTGTCAAATACGACACGTTATAATTTTTGAAGTATCCGAGTATCACATAAAAAAGTGCTAATTTCCTAGAGTGCATTTCCAAAACTTATCTTTGTTAACAATATTTTATAACAAAATAATGCCATTATTTGGTTAAAAAGTATAGTTAGTCAAATTATATTTTCAATTTGACAAGATCGTGAGATTTTGATTTATTATATATTTCGAAAACGAAGTAATTTTAGTGAGTTCTAACATTATAAATATTCAAATTATAATTTAGAAATGCAATGCTGCTATCTCCATTAAATAAATAAAAAATCCGCTATTGTTAATTATAGATAATTCCTTCATTTATAGTACTTTTTTTAAGTAAGTTTTTTTTTTTTTTTTTTGGTAAGTCATTTATAATACTTCTGGTATTTCACGTATTGTCTCATTTATGATTTATATAAGATACTTTAATAAGGCTAACATGCTTCATCTGTATGATAAGCTGTATTTTCATGATAATGGCTTGGCACGATAGGAAATAGGAATAGAGCAAAATTATTTTATTTCATTAAAATAGAAAGTAGGCATAGATTTTGTCGTATGTTGATTCCTAACAAACCATAACTGATACCAACTTCATCGGATCAGTTTTGTTTGGTCACCCCTCTTCAACCACAATCACCACTCAGGGGATTCATTTTCTAAACACGGGCCAACCACTATGGTTGTCCCTATCAAGAACCCAAGAATTTGGTGGAACTCCATTCCATCTCATTTTTCTTATGATCTTTTCAATGTTAAAAATCATACGAAAGCTACTTCAACCCATTTCTCTTTGATGTCACTTATATAGTAAAAAAAAATTTAAGTTGATTTCACTTAATTTTCCTCCATGTAATTTACAAAATACCAATTATCATAATTTTTCTTCCTCATCAAAATCAATTATTTATAAGTTTCATGAGCTAGAATATTTTATTATAACTTTTTTTCAACTAGCAATCCACTGTCATTCTAATCACTGCTGGATCAAACTTTTTAACAATTTTATTCTCTTTCTTTAACAAACTTTTTGTTGAAAAATTTGATCAAACAATAATTAAAGTGATAATGAATTGGTATTAGAAAAAAATAATAGTATAAATATCATACGTTTCAAATATTAAATTATGAGGCAGAATATACTTGTCACCAAAAAAGTTTACAACAACCAATCTAATCACCGTTGGTTTTCGTCAATCTAACGATTATAATTTATTGGAAATAATTGGGTTGTATTTAGATTGACAGAAATCAAAGATGATTAGATTCATGGTAAATGTTATAAACTTATGCAAAACTATAATAAAACTTATGCAAAACTAATGTTTTCCTAATCAAAATTTGCACACAAAAAATTATTTTCACTTTTCAGAAAATTAATTGCACAAACGAAAAAAAAATTACAATTTCTGAAAATAAAAAGCTTCTCTTAATTGTTTGGCCTTTTATTAGCGGGTGAAAAAAATGAAAATAAAAAAATCTGTAAAGGTTGGAGAACAGGTGCGATGCAGCTGATCATGGTCTATCTAACGGAGTTGGCGTGTTGGTGAAACCAGCTTCAATGCAGTCAGTGCGTAAAGGCAGAGAGAGAAAGAGAGTGAGTGAGAGAGACAGAGAGAGAGAGAGAGAAGAGAGTGAGTGAGTTACAAAACGAAGAGTGACAAAGCCATTTCGCCATTTTCATTTTTCACTCGTCTCGCAGCAAAAGCGAGAAAGGTTTAGGTCAGTTCTTTGAATTCCATCCTTCAATCGTTCTAATCCAATCCTTCTCTCTCTGATTCTTAATTTCATTCCATTTTTTTAAAAATCAATTATCATTGTTGATCTTCACAGTTTACGCTTTTCTGGTTTCGATCCGTACATTTTCCCCTGGCGTTACGATCACCGGAGCTGCGTGACTTTTCGACCTCGATAACGCACTCTATGTGATTCCTTGCGTTTTGAGGTTGCTTCCGTCTAACCAGGTACTCTACTCCTTCGGTTTGTGGCTTGTTTGGTTTCCGAAAAAAAAAAAAAAAACCTAATGGATTTGGAGTTTGATGATGAATACACTGTCATTGCGTTGCTTGAATCTTCATAGGCTAAAGATAAATCGTAGGTTCGGATGCGAGGACAATTTTCCTTTCTCTCGTTTGTTTTTTTCTTCATTTGCTTCGATGCGAAAATATCCTCATTATTGAATCTTTGTTTATTCCTGAGAGATCTCAGAATTTTTTTATTTTTTTTAAACTTTTATGCGATCTTAGGCTGCAATTTTCTGATTAGCCGATCAGAAACACATTTTGATATAGTCGTATGGACTTATTAGAATACTAAGGATGATTTTTGTCGATAGCTGGCTAAAATATTGCGAGCTTTGGTACTAAAGCCTTTTCATATATGTATACATACATATTTCACTTCAACAATAAGTTCTCAAGGTTCTTGATTCTTGATGTAAAATGCTAGATTAGTCATGCTGGATTATTCCTTCTTTTAGAATGCATGGATTTAAGCAATAACTAAACTAAATTAAAACAGCCTTGGCGGAATTGATGACATTTTTGTTCACAACATCTGTGTGAATTTTACTTTTTGCAGGTTCACATTTTAGGAGTAGCTGAATGGTAGGAGGTGAATGGTCTAGCGTTAATTACTTCAACTTTAGTTGAAGGATTTGCCTTGGTGAATCTGTGAAGATTGAAGAATTGATTTGTATATGTATTGATGTTTGTGTTGAAGCTTTTATATTTTGTTGATTGTCTGCATCATTGTCTTTGCACTGATTCTTGTAATTTGATGTGAATTCACTATGCAGATTACTTGTCTGGCAGAAAGGATTCAAAATGAGTTGGAACCCACACATGGATGTCCATTACAATAACATCAGCTATCCCTACAATACAGCAGGAAGCTTTATTGAATATTTTGAAGGTCTCACCTACGAACATGTCAACTTCATTTTTTCCGGTGCATCACATGCTCAGGTGCATGCAAAGATTGTCTTCTATATTCTGTTAAAGATATTTGATGCTTTGGATAGACAGAATTATTCCACTTATTTTCTTTGTTTCCTTAATGTATATCTGTTGGAAAGACTGTTCTGTGTTTCACTATTTTATCTGTAACTTTTTTGTTTTTGTTTTGATATTAATGGAAGGCTAGTAGAAAGATTCATAATATTCAAGTAAAAACAAAAAGTTCCATTTATATATGCAGGAGAGTTCATACCCTTCAAATTCAAGCTTTTACAAGTTTGGACTCTCTGAACCTGAGAGTACTTCATACTATCGTTACAGTCATGGTTATGAGGTAAATCATCATGAACCACTGGTAGATGAATATAGGAGGCCTTCAGAAAACTCATCGACAATCAACGAACAGACGGCAGCAGTAAGTACAGAATGGGGAGAAGGAGGAAACACTGCCACACAAGAGAATTCTATTGAATGTATGTTCTTGAGTTTCATCTGAAGATAATTTTCATTAATATACAAGGGCCTTAAATTACACTCTGCAATTAAAACAACAAATGACATGTCCTGCACATTGTAATTAATTAATTACAATTTAGAAATATTTGGGTGGTGAAATGCAGTCTTGGGTATGTGTTAAGTTTCTTAAAAGTGAGTTGCTGCTCACCTCACACTGCTACCATTTTAGACAAAATATTCTTGATTCCTTCATGAGCATCAGGATGTATGACAAACTGCTATTGGAGCGTGAAGTATCTGGTAAACTTATTAATTCTCAGATGTAATTTTCAGATTACATCTTCCTGGACATGAAAGAGTCTAATTTAACTTACCTGCTGAATTACAGATGTATTGGTTCGTAATGAAGAAGTGTACTTGTTGATATTAATACACTTATCTCATTGCCATGATCTTGAGCATTTTTTATAATCCTTATGGTTTGCTGTAATTTAGCTGATCTTTCTGAATCTAGACAATGGGTATTTCTCTTAATTTTAGACAACTTTTTTAATTTCACTTTCTGTCCACACCTCTTCATTAATCTTTATCCTGTTCTTTTATAAGAAGGAAATAAAGCTGAAATTACCAAAAGGGGGTTGGTTCAAGTGGTATATGCTTGATTCCGCTTAAGCAAGGTCTTGGGTTCAAGTCATTGCGAATGCAAAAAAATTCTCTTTGGGAGATCTAGCCCCACAATGATGTGGATGTTCCTGGCTCAAACAAGATTGCCTTCCATAGAGGACACCTGTGGTTTATCCAAAAAAATAAAGCTGAAATTTATAAGTATTCATTTATAAGTTGTATGGAAAAATAGACTTGGATCCTCCCTGATGCTTTGTTCAACTTCTGAAAGAGAGAAACAGAGAGTGAAGAATTAGTTAAATGAGTAGTCCCACTTAGGTAGGCCATCCATATACAGCAGCCTTTGCCCATCTCAAATCTTGTAGGACTCTTTACAAGTTTATTCGTAAAGAGAAAAAGTAGTAGATTCTGCTGTGATCTCATCATTTAGATCTATCCAAACCATAGTAGTTAATTGCGCCGCAATAGCACCGCGAGCCGCACCGTATAGGTGTTGCGGTGCCTCGCCGCAAAAAACCGCGCCGCGCCGCATCGGAATGCAATAGCGGCCATTGCGATCGCATTTGTGGCCATATTGCTGTCATAAGGCAAAATGTCAATTTTGTTCCAAATTTACATGTGTAACAGAAAAAATTTAAGGGTTTTTTAATCTATCCGTGTCTCTCTCTGTCATTTTTGCTATCTCTGCCTTTAAAAAATGTTTCTTTTTGTCATTATTTCTTTCATATATCTATTCTGCTATTTTCGCAACCGCAACCCGCTATACCGCTATAGCGTTTTTCGGGGTTGGCCGCGACATGCCGCAATCCACATTTGATAACTATGATCCAAACCCCCTTTTGCTGAGCTGTCATTTGATAGTTTTGAGTATTTTTACCTTACGTATAAAATGTTTGCTCACAGTTTAAACAACTTTGTCTCTTTTCTTTCAGGTCCACGAAGACATCATAGTAATTCCAATGATTATCAGGTATTTGCTTTCAAAAGTCTGGTGCACGAAATTGTTAAATGCTATGAATATCTGAGAAGCTTTTACATTTACCTTTAGCCGTTCATCCGTGAGAAGCACAATAAATGATTATCTAAGACATTTTTCCAATAAATGATTATCTAAGACATTTTTCTAAGTTTTACAGGTCATTTGGCAAGACAATATTGATCCCGACAACATGACCTATGAGGTAGGATTGAGAGTCTTTGATTCTTTCTCTTTCTAGGCATTATATAGGGCTTCCTTAAAGTACAGCTATTATATATTTGATTTCCTTAGAGTCAATCTTCTAGATATATAAAATAGTTAATCTAGTAATAATTTGATTAAGGGATGGTAACTCCTTTATTTCTCTGTTTTTGTTTGTCTTATGCTTCACTTTTCTTCCTTGTACTTGTACACATTATTCTGCATGTAGATAGATATTCTTGAAAAATATTGTTTGGCCAAAACATTTCATAAAATTCTTATAGTGCATTATATGTTGAAGGAACCAGAAAATTATATTAAAGTAAAATAATGGAGACAAATTCCTTACAAACACTAATTGCAGAAAAATAAACCTAAAGATCCTTATCTCATCCTTTGAACCAACACACCTAGGTTCCAAGAGATCCCTAATTCCCCCAAATATTCACTTAATTCATGCCTACCTCATTACACACACTCCCCCTCCTTTTATTCTTTTCTTTAAGAACATTCTAGAACAATTCCCTAACTAACTAACTAATCATCTCACTTGCAGGCCCATCATATGTCCTTATGAGCTAGAGCTAGATTGCATTTCATATTTTAACTGCAATTGGTAAAATCCTTAATGTTGCATCTTGTAACGCCCGGCCGCTTCAAGGATTAATGACTATCCCCACAAACTAACACGAGACTTTTCAACGTGCTTTGTTCTCACTCACACTTTTTGAGAAAACTTCCCAGGAGGTCACTCATCCCAGAATTGTTCCAAATTAAGCATGCTTAACTATGGAGTTCTTCTGTTCCGCGCTACTGAAAAGTAGATGCATCTTGTTAGTGTAGGTAGTACCAATTAATTTTTGTAAGTTATCCCCAACCGTACAGTCTCATACCCGCACAGTCCCTGGAATCCCTCTCTTTCGGATGTTTATTCGATTCATTCATGTATCTTCCAGCTGCAAGATTTGGCATGAGCCGCTTATTGTCCGTGTCTCTTTTGCACCGGCGATCACTCTCTGCCCTTGCTAGCTCTTAGGATGTTACACATATACTACTGGTTTGTTAGTTTCCAGGAAAAGAAAAGGCTCAATTACATGTTTGGTCCCTCTATTGTGACCAATGTACGATTTTGATCTCCTAATAAATTTTTGGAGCAACTAAATCTCCTAATTTTCGTAATTGTAAAAATCAGGTTCCTTCTTCACTTTGTCATACAATTACTATCAGAAGTTGGTAACGTGGCTAACAATTTAACTGTGGCATGATACTTTACTAGAATAAAGCATCTTAATGGACTCACTAGTGACTCTAGTTTATTTAAATCCATCATTTTATTATATTTAAGTACAACATTTTATATTTAATCTTTTTATATTGGGAAATTTAAATAGATTAAAGTCACTAGTAGGTCCATTAAAACACCAACTCAGTAAAGTGTCATGCCACATATGTAAATTGTTGGCCACATCACTAACTTCTCTCAATAATTAAATGGAAGACTAAAGAATGGACCACATTTTTTAAATTAGAAAAGTTGGGGGATTTGATTGCTGTAAAAAATTATTTGGGGCTGAAATTGCACATTGGCCAATCAAAAGTGCAATTAACCTAACAAGAAAAGTTAATAAAGAAACATTTATGTTAGAAAATTGTCTCATTGGTGCAAATGTGTTTTTCAATTAAATGTGTGGCTGTTGGTAGCTATGTTGCACCGACACAGACACGGGACACGACACGACACGACAAGACATTCTGAGACATAAATTCTAAAAAATGTTAGATTCTACACGTTATGACACATTTTGATATTAAATAATATTTTCAATTTATGTAGTGTATATTATATTTAATATTCAATAATTTAACAAAAAAATAGAGCTAAACTTAAAATACACTTTAATTTTGTAAAGAAACATAAGATATCCCAAATATTTATATTAAACTCAATAAAATGATAAGCGTAATTCAACGAATTTAGTAGTTCGAACTAAAAACGCAACGTAATTTTTGGGTTGAGACATGGTGTCGGATCCACTTACTACGGTTGGTGTAGCCTTAGCCTATTGGTGGTGGCCCCCCGCCACGGGCTTCCCCTGGACCCGCTTGACACTGGAGTTTGAGGGAACGAATTTCCCAACAGTGGTATCAGAGCCGGATTGGGCTCGAGCTAGCCTAATGATTGGCTAGGAGGCGGGTCGAGTACTTTGCGCTTCGGGTACTCGGTTGAGGGGGAGCATACCAATGGTGGGTTTCACACTTGAGGGGGAGATTGTTGAGATATTCAAGTGTGATGAGTCCCACATTGGTTGGTAATGAGCTAAGTGAAGAGTATATAAGTGAAAGGACCCATGAACCCAATGCCTTAAGGTTTTGGGTTGAGACATGGTGTCGGATCCACTTGCTACGGTTGGTGTAGCCTTAGCCTATTGGTGGTGGCCCCCCGCCACGGGCTTCCCCTGGACCCGCTTGACATTGGAGTTTGAGGGAACGAATTTCCCAACAGAATGTTGCACCGACACAGACACGGGACACGACACCACAAGACATTCTGACACATAAATTCTAAAAAATGTTAGATTCTACACATTATGACACATTTTGATATTAAATAATATTTTCAATTTATGTAGTGTATATTATATTTAATATTCAATAATTTAACAAAAAAATAGAGCTAAACTTAAAATACACTTTAATTTTGTAAAGAAACATAAGATATCCCAAATATTTATATTAAACTCAATAAAATGATAAGCGTAATCCAACGAATTTAGTAGTTCGAACTAAAAACGCAACGTAACTTTTGAACCTTTTTTTGAGTCTCTGCAACACGTGTTGGAGTGTCGGGGAGTGTCAAAAAGTATCGGACACGACACTTCAAATGTCAGTGCATCATAGGTTGGTAGTGTGATTTCAAATCCTTATAGTTAAGTGAAGATCTCTATAATCATCAATTATCAAAAGGTGAAAGTACAGACTTCTTGTATTTGAGTTGATTCTTTTGCCATTTCCCGACATTAATATTGTATTATTTATTGCAGGAACTACTTGAATTAGGTGAGGCTGTTGGAACTCAAAGCCGTGGTCTCACCCAAGAACAGATCTCCTTGCTTCCAGTTTCAAAGTACAAGGGTGGTTTCTTCTTGAGGAAGAAGTCACGGGATGAGAGGTAATATTTGGGTTTTTGGACTCTCTAATTTAATGCTTTTGTTGCTTTTCTTCCTCATCCACCCTTTATATATATTTTATTTTTCACGTGTCTAGCCTTCGCAATCCTTGTTTCTGCATTTACTTCATCAACTCTACTTCTTGGTTGACTAATTGTTATGAAACAATTCTACTTTCTTCCGGGTCCGAATTGATCTCAAGAGATTATAGATTGCTATTATTAAAGCTTATTCTTTGGGCTAATTTTAGTCAGAGTGATCTATCTTCTATCTCTGCCCAATTACTTCTTTGTGTAGCCTACATAGAATGTATTGAGGTAATGAACGATAAGGTGCAGGTCTCACATGAAGAGTATATATAAATTAGAAGTGGATAGAGGCAGTTAAATTATTGTGAACATAAAAATGCTTAGGTTATTAATGAATAAATTTACCATCAATTGTAGGCCTAAAATCTATTACATTCTGTCTCACATAATCTTTAAATAAGAACAAAATGCGTAGAATCAAATGAATAAAGTTTAGGATTTTGTGTCACTTTTCTTACCTTACATAATATAATCTGGAGCTGGAAAAGGTCCAGATGGGTATTGCTCTTAAAAACCCTGGGTATTTCTGTTGCGAGCTTTTAAGTTAAAACTTAGTTCATTGCATCTATTGTTTTTATGGTGGAGGAGCAAGTATTTGGATCTTGCCTCCTTGATCTATTGATCTGACTCGTCTTCTTGTTTAGATGTGTGATTTGCCAGATGGAATATAAAAGGGGGGACAAGCGGATCACTTTGCCATGTAAACATGTCTATCATGCCAGTTGTGGGAACAGATGGCTTAGCATCAATAAGGCACGATACTGACCAATTTATCATGAACTAATAAGTCCTTTTGTACTTGTTTTCTCGTCTGCTGAAATTCCTTTTATTTAATTTTTCTGCCGGGCTTGTTTTTTCAGGCTTGCCCTATATGTTACACGGAGGTGTTTGCCGACAAGTCAAAACATAAATAATTACGGACGAGCGAAAGAAGTAACCCGCATATGTTCTGTTTCTCCTTGAGTTTGGGGGTCTTTCATAGAAATACATTTATTTGTTTTCCTTTTTTCGTAGTGAGGTAAGCCATTGTGTCTGGTTTAGTAAAATTACAAAGAGAGCAGTTGCTTGGGTCATAATCCCAAAGTTTTATAAAGAATATGGACATGCATCATGGTTGTATTGGAGAGGCTGGATTATGGTTTGTTTTAGTAGTAATTTTATACAGTGTGCTATGATTTCACGTACTTATGATCACCTGCTGCTGATAGTGTGTTGGAGAGGCTGGAATCTGAACATGTATTCACAATTTTTATGGAAATTTCTTCAAACACTTATCGTGTTATTTACGTCATTGGACTTTGCATCTTATAATTTAATAGTGGTGAATCTAGATTGTTATATGTAGTCCATCATTTGGATTGAAATAATTCCCGTCGTTCTTATTGAGAATGACATCTTAACAAAAAGTTTCTCTAAAAAAGATACTTTTATTTTTATTTTTTCTTAGGTGTCATTTTTTAATTGAATGGATTGGGGAAGGGACAGGAAAGGGGAACTCGTGATTTGATTACTCGCCATTTTACATTAGAAGAAAGACTAGACTAAACCTTGTAGACAGAAATGGTATTCAGGCACGTTAGACATTTTACACTGATTTTGTAAGTTGTGCCTTTCTGCAGAAGTGAAGGAAATAATCGATGTTTTCTGCTCAGACCGGCTTTTACTTCGGATTAAACAACATATCAAGTAATTACTCATTAACACTCGCCTACTCTTTCCCGTGATTTTGTTTATAGCTAATATTTTAGCAAATCTTTGGATTTTTATCTTACCACAATCCTACCCAAGTTGAGGTGCAAATGGTATAAACAAAACGTACGCTGCCTCACGATTGTCTTGATTTATATTTTAAAGCATTAATATAGCCTTTTAAGCCATTTAGCAAAATAATCTTCTCATCCATGATTGATGGATGACACTATAAAAGGTTTATAATCCATATATTGCTCAAAGTATGAATAGATAGGAGTTAAGGGACTTGTGGTCATGGGTTTCGGCGAGTCCTTTCTTGACTTAGCTCAATTAAATATAACTCGCATGCATTTCGATGACCTGATGGTTTCTAAGTTTATAAAAATCTCATCGTCAAATTTGTTCCGGCTCTTTTCCTCAGGAAATGTTTATTTTACCGAGGCAAGCTAAAAAACTACTTTTCCTATCCGAAATGAGTGCGTCGAGGTAGTAAGCAGTTTAACCATTTGAGATAACAACGGTTAAGAATGATAGGGAGCCCAAAACCTTTTATAAATGATTATTTTACTAATGGATCAAATAACAAACTACAATAAATGGATTGAGATCACATCTTAATCCAAATAGATCTATGGATTTTTTTGTACTTATATGATTCTCACTTTGTTCATTTCAAATCCTTTTTACTACTCACACTTGAATATTTCTAAGTTCAAATATCAAGGATGTAGGCATGCAGCTACTGGGAAGGCTGTATCTCTTGTTATTTCACAACTGAGCAGTTAAAATAGGCTGAGCCTGTAGAGATGCCTAACTCCTTGTCCTCTATCTTTGGACATTTATAACAAGTAAAAGCCTCGTGCTCCATGTAAAGTCTAATTGGATCTCAGTATAGACAGCATAACCTTGTTGAGAAAGAATTTCTTACATCCTCGTAGAGTACAAAAATTTCTTAATCTCGGAGGAGTTACAGTTTAGACCATTAATTTTCAGTCAGTGCATTTAAAGTTTTGGCCTATCGGGTTTGTGCTTAAAATCAATGGTTAAGATTGCAAGGAATATTTTTATTCTAAGTGTTTCTAAGAAATTTTCTTATTAAGTTTCCAATCTGTTTCATTCCATTTTTTTGCTAATATTTCAAATTCCACCCAATAAAATTAGAGTCCTCAAAAATAATGTAAGCTCTGGGTTTTTAGATATTATTCTCAACTGTATGGCAATTGCTCATTAGTATAATACTAACACACTGCCACTAATTTGAAATAAATCAGTTCAAAATTTCAAAAGAACTGTGTTTTGAAAAACGTTTTTACACAACTAAAACCAAGTAAATTGCATTTTTATTACTACATGGAGGGGTATATATAGGTTAGGCTAAGTTAGGCTTTGGCTTAAATAGCTTAAGCTTGTGTAAAATATTTTAGGTCTGACTTGGCCTGTTAGCCTTGTATAGGCCTAAATTATAAGTCTGATCTGACCTATATTTAGAAAACAAAAGCCTTGACCTAGGCCTTTTAGCCTGTTTAAGCTATTAAATATTCAATAATTAAAAAAATAATTTAAGTAATATTACTTTATTATTAAAAATTATTAAAATAATAATTTTATTGTTTTATTTGAAATAAATAATATAATATAGGCCGACCCGTAGGCTTATAGGCCTGGCATGTGAAAAAAAACCTACGGCCTACTTTATAAGATTTTTTTAAAAGCATAGGTCTGCTCTATTTGACTATATGTAATTGGCTAAGTCTGACTTAATATAGGCTAGGCCTGCTCTATTTGACTGTATGTAATCGGTCAAGTCTGACCTAATGCCGACCTAGCCCATTTACACTCTCACCTACACGATCGAAACCCTCGAGAAACAGAGTACACTACCTGAAACTCCAGCATATTAGTGGTATATTGTGTTTGGGAAAATTATTTGTGTTTTAAAAGGATGTAAGTTGTGTTCTTTTAGTTTTTTTTACTGTATGTATTCCCGGTAGTACATAGTTATAACATGAAATTTTTTTTTTCTTCTCAACCACATCACCTGATGTGAAAAGTGAAAAACAATAATAATTTTTCATGTTAAAACTATGTATTACCAAAAATACAAAGAATAAAAAATTAAAAGGACACAACTTACATACACTAAACCCATTGTTTTTATTATTATGGTTGTTGATTTGTTCTCTATCTATGAAGAATCATGGTATGATGACTTTCGGGTGCTGTTTGGTTCAAGATTTCTTAAAACTTACTTATGCAAATTAAATTGGCAAAGTAAGAAAGCAATGTTTGGTAGACACTTTTACAAATTTTTCCTTGGTGTTGTATTTGCATAGCATTCCTTATTTGTTCGTAGAAAGCAAACAAAAGTTACTATTTGTAAAGACAACTTGCATGTGATATTTTACATTTAGCCGACTAAATGGGAAAAGAGTAACCCACTAGCAGACCTAAATACCCTCATCTAAAGCGCCAAAGTTTCACTTTTTTTATGGGGTTATATTTGTAATTTTATACCATTTACCTATTAATATTTTATTCTCAATCAAACATAGATTTCAAAAACTTTAATTAATTTGCTCGGTAATATTTGGTCCAACCAAACAATTTTTTTTAACTTTTCTATTTAATTCACTTTTTTATAGATCCCTGTTAATTAAATTTTCTCGATAAACTAAAATTTTCACTTGAATCAAATACCCGACAATTTTCCGAATACGAATACCCCAAGCACTGGGATTTGTCAATTTGAGATCCAATGGGGAACTTACGAATGTTAGGTCCCTACGAAATACATTGCTCCGGGCCGTTTCAAAAGACCCAAAATTGAAACTTTATTTAAAAAATTTTAATTAATGGCAAAATAATGCAACAATGAATGCTGTGAGGATCGATACATTTTTTCAATCTGATCTAATTAATGAATGATACTCCTTTATGCTGTAGATTTGCATGTATTATTCAGACTAGGTGTACGCGGAGAGAAAATGTGAACACGTGGGAAAGGAATAAGGGCCTTGATGGCTTTACTCAAAATTCTGGATAATATTCTTACACACGATGTAAAAGAAAGTCTTCAATGGTGAGCTGGCTACAGGGCACGGGAGAGACATGCCAAACATTATTGCATTAAGTTTCCAAGTTGTATATACTAATCGTCCTTGTGTGCCTCCCTCTAAACACAACAAAACTTAAGCAAACAATATGGTACGGCATTAATCTTTCTTAGCTGGTGAGAAAGGAGGCGTTACCATGTCAAACGATCAGACGTTCCATCTGCAATAATTGCAATAGTAGGAAATTAAATATATATGTACTATATGCTCATAATTATATTAAACAAAGACTATGGAGAACTGGAAATAAAATATTGAAGAAAACAACATTGAGCTATTGTGATTATAATAGTTAAAATTTTGATTTATTATTATGTTTTTATAATTTTTTTTATGAAAAATATTTTATTAATATTTCAAGTGCTTTTAATTTTTTTATGTTATGATTTTATGTTTTATAATTTTTTATTCTCTTTTATTTTTAAATAAAATCTCGTTTTTAACTATTTGACCATGACTAAAGTTGCAACTAACTAGGTAGATTTGGGAACCAAATTTCTAATGGTAAGTCCCAAGCTCGCAGGATTCTGTTGGACAGTCCGCGGATGTTTGGTATAAGGTATTTTTTAAGATTTTCAGGAAATTAAATTTTTCTAAATTTTAATTTTTGGATATTATCGTAAACTGAATATTTTCATCATATTTATGAAAATTGAGATTCTTGAATAAAAAAAATTTCTCCTCTATTAAACGCAAAGGATTTTCAGGAAATTAAATTTTTCTAAATTTTTAATTTTTGGATATTATCGTAAACTGAATATTTTCATCATATTTATGAAAATTGAGATTCTTGAATAAAAAAAATTTCTCCTCTATTAAACGCAATGTAAACCTTTGTCTCGTTTTTATTACATGGACGATTGATTGGATTGTTATTGCTGTTTCCTAGTGATTAGGGATGACAAAGTGGGTGGCCCGCCCTGTCCCGTCCTACTCCGCCATCAACCTGTCAAAAAATGAGTCAGCTCGTCTCGCCCCGTTTTTGAAAGTGGACTGAAAAACTCAACTCTCCCGTTTGGCGGGTTGGGTGGGTTGACCCACCAACCCGAGCTTATTTTACATTGACCCGCCTCGGCCCATCTATGCTCGCCATCAATCCGCCAAAAAATAAGCCCGTCCCGTCCTGTTTTTGAGATAGGTTGAAAAACTCAGTCCGCCCCATCCAGTTTAACAGACGAGGCGAGTTGGCCCGCGAAGCTGAGCCCACTTTGCCATATCTGGGCTTCACTGGTACCTTCTAAAAGCATGCGAATTCTGAATGTCCCATTCAAGTCAAAACTTCTTCTTCTTCTTATCTTCCGTATGGGTAGTAGACTAGTAGGATAATACTGCACAGTTTATATGATTGGACACTAGGCAGTCAAAAAGTAGAACAACGATTCTCCAAAGTTTTACCTGAATGAATTATTTTATAAGGCATGGTATACATGCTTACAGGTTAGCCTGTATTGAATTATTTATTTTAAATAAAATAAATATTTAGTTGGTAAA